TTTTTTTTTTTTTTTCCTCTCCTTCCTTCCTGTTCTTTTTTCTTCTTTTCCCCTTCCACCTTTTTAGGTGTACTTCATGGGAATGATGGCCTGCGTAGAGACCAGCAGATTCCACATCTGCTCGAACTGCGACCATTCGATGCGGCAAGTCCACACGGATGTTTGAACCTCTTCCAGCAGTGTGCGCACTGGTGCGCTGTGCCTGAGCCTTTCCAAAAGGCCTAGCCTCATTTCTGACCGCATCAGAGTGGCCAGCGCTTTGGTCACCTCTTCGGTCATGTTCGTTGGCTCCTGGAACGTGACGACCTTGTGCGTGCTCGTCGTGCTGGTGGTCGTTGGCCCTGGTTGTGCTGCTTTGCTTAGCGCCAGAGCGTTGGCCACCGGTTTCTTTGCTGACCACGACAGAGTGGAGAACCAAGACCTCCGCTCTTCTCCTGTGACCTCTTCTTCTTCGCTGTCGGATCCTGCTCGGGACACTCTGCTTGGCTCTTCTTCGTCGAACATCTCCGCGTCCTCTTCTCGCTGTTCCTCCGCGCCATCTTCGGCCGCTTCGTTCCTTTTGCGTTTCTTCGCTCCTCCTGCCTCTGCTTCTTGCTTCTCTGCGTCCGGGTGCGCTCGTGCTTTCCTACGTACGGTTAGGACAAGGGCGGCGGGCTCTTGTCTGCTCTTCTTTGCTTGTTGTTCGGCCACCTCGACCCACGTCCCGTCCTGTGCCTCGTCTGTGGTGGGGCATCTGCGGCGCAGCTGCTCGACCAACTTGCCAACCACTGCTCTCTGCCCGTCAGGTAGGAAACCGCCGTCGGCCCGCGTCACTACTACTTTTGTAGCCTTTACCTCGTCCGTGTAGGGGATGCACGTGGCTCCCCCTTCTCCTTCTTTGGCTTCTTTTTTCTGCACAAGCAGATACTTTTCGCGGTCATCCTCGAAGACGTAGGCGTGCTCCTTTTCCGGTTCTGGTTTGCTGCCTTCGGGTTCGTCTTCCTGCTTGGTGCTGTTCGCTGGTGCCCGCTCTCGCTTTTCGGCTTTGTGGATTCGCACCACGTTGTACGGCGGTGAGGTGGGCATCGCCTTCATCATTGTGAGAATCCTCCGGGCCTCTCCAGGCGCTTGGGCCAATTTGAAGAGCAAGGTAACGAAGGCATCCTGTGGCAAAGGCAAGTCACAGAGGTCTTCCAGGTCCAAGACCTCTAAAACCGTTGCCCAATCGACCTCAGCAAGCAGCATAGAGAGGTCTACGCGGATTCCGATCCCGGGGCGGTAGGAGTCGGACATCCACGCGGGGCGTTCGCCCGTTTCTTTTTTCGCTGGTGGTTTTGTTCGGTTCTGCTTGTCGTCTTCGTTGCTGCCTGTTGGCTGCCGCTCTCTTGCCTGGCTTCGTCCTCGCGCTCTGCTGCGTCCCCTGGGTCGGTCTTCGTCGTCCTTCTTGCCGTCTCTGCCCTTCGTGTCCTTTCCCTTCTGGTCCTTGCCTCTGCCTTTCGCTCCTTTTTTTCCGTCTTTCTCCGCCTGCCAGATGCTTTCCGGCACCGCTGTGTCTTCCTTTTTGTTTCGGAGGTTGACCTCCTCGCCGTCCCTGTTCCGGTAGCCGTTGTCTGTCAGTTGCGGCGTGTAGATGAGGGCGTTGTCCTCTTTCTCTTTGTTGAGCCACTGCTTTAGCTTCGTCACCTCTTCGCTGCTGCCGTTTCTCAGAATGGCTTGCCAGCCGATCCGGAAACATTTTGGGTGGAAGTTGAATCCATCCCCGGCCTTCGTGTTCCACAGTAGGTCTGTGATCGAGTTCTGAACTTTCGACCGCCTGTCCTCGTTCCTGAACGTGTCCTGGAACGCTGTGCGCCCCGCTTCTCGGGCCGCGTCCTTTCCTCCTCCGCCCATGGCGTCGGCCGTTGCTGTCTTCTTCGCTTCTGTCTTCGTCGTGCGTCCTGTATTTTGAAACAATTGGAAGTATGGCGGTATAATTTCCAGCAGTTCCCCCCCTTCTCGTCTGTACTTTATCGACGGCTGGGGGCCGTGCGTTCGGTGGATCTTTCCCCAGAGTGTCAGCGAGAACCTGGGGCCGCCTGCTCTGACTGCGTGCCGCGTCCTCCGGTTCTCTTCCCTGGTGAACCAGCGGAGCAAGGCGGGGGCGGTTGTCTCCTGGCGTCCTGGTCCCTTTTCGTCGTCTTCCCAGCGGAATTCCGTGGCTCCCACCGAGAGAACCACCGCTACGTCTGCCTCTCCGAATTCGTCCCGATGGTATCCTATTGCCTCCCCTTGCTTCCTGAAGACATTCAGGATAGCACCGCACTCCCCTGCGAGATTGGCGGTTTTGTAGATCCAGGAGGCCAGTTTGTGGATTGCCCTCGGCGAGCTCGTTTCCGCCAATTCGAACGACAGCCGGCGCAGTTTGCGGACTGCTCCTGTTTGGGCGTTCCGCTTGTGCACTGCGCGGACGTCTTTGTAGAATGCCAGGACTTCCTCGAGTATGTCCCAAGGGTCGCCCGCCACCTTCTGTAGCTCTTCACGAGTTACTTCAGCCACGCCGCGGGGCCCCCAGCTCCCTGCCCCTCCCGCGTCGAGGTCACGGAGGTATCCTATCCACCGTTCCGCCATGCGGAGGGGAACTGCGGATGTCAGTGAGATAGAGTCCCATTCTAGTCATATTTGTTATTACCTCGCGCGGACAGCTTACTACTGTCCGCGATGTCTGATCTACCCTACACTCTACTCTCCTCTACGTTACACACTCTACCCTTATGCTACAAATTTGCACTCCTAGGCCACGCACATCTATCCCAACAAGAGAGAGACAATAGAGACAAGGCAATACCTCACGTCTCGCTTCTTAGTTTCGCCTTTGCTCGGTCGTTTCTTGGCCTCCTTTGCTTCTTTTGGTGGGGCATAGATCCACGCCGCGTCCCGTCGTTGTCTCGTTCCTGTTCGAGGGTGGTGTGACGATGTGTTTAGATGCAGCGTCTAAGTGGTGACCTGCTCAAATAGGTCATCTAAACACAAGGGCAAGCGCAGCAACACATGTACCCAGTAGACGCCTGCCCGTCTGTACATGTGTCCAGTAGACACCCAGGCGTCTGTGTTTATATACAGCCGCTACTCAGATGCCTGACTTTTTACTACATCTAAACACGAGAGCATCCCTACGTGCACTCGTGTACTTTTTATTATATCTAGAAACGCGGCGACTTTGCATACTTATCACAAAAGGGCACCTACCTACTTCTTGTTCTCTCCTTGCCTGGCCTCGCTGACCCAAGATAGGGCGCTGTAGGTTCGTTGGCGCCAGTGCCCGGTGTCAGTTCCTTTTCGTTCGTTCGTCGCTAGGTATTCCCACGCGCCTTGAGGCCTGTTGTTGGTCAGTCACTGAAAAGGGGTGACTATGCCATCACGGGGCCTCCACTTTCAGTTTACAAGGCAGGAGAGAGACAGACAACACCCGGCTGTCACAAGCGTCTCCTCCCGCCCGCTACGTGGATGCACATCAAGGTGGCGCGAGACAGGCAGCAGCTGGCTGCCACAGGTGCGCCCCACCACCCTGAGTCCATCTCGATGCTTACTCTCGATGACCTTCTATACTTTTCAGCTATTCTGTCCTATGGTATGGGGGCGGGGAGCAGACAACACGAGGTCGTCACACTCGCTCCCCGATTCCCGCACTGTACTATCTACCAAAGAGCAGGCAGGAGCAACCTGCCATACCTAGGCTCCCCCTATTGGGTTCCGCCTCATTCTCTACTTTATCTGAGCCTATGGGACTTGAGCGGCGCAGGCTGCACTTAGGCAGCCATAGGTCACGCCCTCTTGTGCGTTCCAGTAAACAATACCTTTTTTCTTCCCCTTTTTCCGCTGCTGTCTCGCTCCTGTTACTTCGCGCCGGCGTTGTCTGAGTCTAAGGCCATACTTTGTGATGCAGAGAGATAAGTCGTGTACTTACACTTAAGTGCTTCCGAAAGCGTAAAGTCCCTGTTCCATTCAAATCCGAGTTTCTTGGTAAGTAATTACTGTTACTTATATCTCGATCATCGTTTCTTTTTTTTTTTCCAGTCCCTTCACTTGTCCCTTCACTTCCCTGCGATCGAGATCAAGTCGTAATTTTCAAGACTATCGAGCCGTAACCTTCAAGACTTAACCTGCCGAGGTGAACCCTTGTTATTCCTCATTCACTCCTTCGGGCTCGATCACTTCCTTGCTGATTCTATCCTTTTCCCGGCGTGGTCGGTCCTTTTCCTTAATTTTCAATTCCTCAGATGGAGATCGCACCTCCTGTAACATCTTTATGCGATTCATGCGATTCCTTAAGTTCGATCCTCGATCATTGCTCATGTGGCGCCCACGGCGCGGCCTACTTTGATCATCTTCTTCCCTTTCGTCCCTTCACCTTGATGATCGAGGATATTATAATTTCAGGACCTTAAATTGTGGAACTCGGGATTCGTTCTCACTTTCTTTTGCGGCGGGTCGATCGGTTGGCTCACCGCATCCGCCGCCCGCTCTTGTGGCCTTAATTTGATTATTCCACCTGGCGATCCGCATTCGATTTCAATTCTGTCCTGTCCCATAATATTGAGATACAATAGACGTTCACTATTCAATTTCAATTCTGCCCCATTTTCCTCCGATATTGAGATAATATTGAGATAGCATTCCATTTCAATTCTGTCCTGTCCCATAATATTGAGATACAATAGACGTTCACTATTCAATTTCAATTCTGTCCCATTTTCCTCCGATATTGAGGCGACGAGAGGTGACGGCGATCTTCTCTCTTGTGATCTACTGGCCGAAAAGCGCGACCGAAATTATACGGGTTTCTTTTCGGTCGCACTTTTGGGCAGCGACCAGGTCGCGACATTTGTTCACCTCTTCCTGATGTAGGGTCACCTTCCCCCTTGGTGACTCCACTGGCCGAAAAGCGCGACCGAAATTATACGGGTCTTTTTTCGGTCGCACTTTTGGGCGCCCATTTATTGATCATCTTTCCTCATTCCCAGCCCTTGACGATCAGACACCCGGGGCGCCTATCCTTAGAGCAATCATCTCCCTACTTCGACCCGATCGCTCGACCTTTCTCTATTCAGGTCCAGGGCGCGCACCAGTCACATTCTTACTCAGCCTGGTCCTAGCCGTTGTTTGCCTGGTCCTAGCCGTTGTTTGCCCGATAATTCTTATTCTTGCCTCCTTCGGATCATCAGGCGGCTCGCGGCCCCGGTTGGACCTTACTGAAGGGCCGACCGAAAAGGTCAGGGTATATTTTCGGTCGTTGTCTTTTTTGGCTGGTCAGGGCGCTTACCGCCGAGGCCGGCGCCCTGGCCGGAAGTTCCGGGGCATGTTTTCGGTCAGTCCAGTCACTACGCCGAGGGCCGCTCGGAGCCCTGCCCCTCCGTTTCCCGTCTGCTTCTACAGAAGTGGGGCCCCAGTTTTGGGGGGCTATTCCCATGCCCTCTGCCTCGTGGCCATTGCGTCTCCGACCTTTTCCCAGAGGGCGCCTGGTCGGAGGTTAGATCTGGAGCGTCTATCCTCCCCCTTTTTTTCGTTCCATCATGGCCGGCTGTCCCGATCATGGGGCCCCTTTGCCTTTTGCATTGCTTCAGGCCAGCCTCTCCCCTTCCTTCTTTTTTATTTTCTTCGTTTCCTTGAGTCTCTCCTTTTTCTTCCTGCTTTGCTTCTCCTTCCTTTTTCTTCTGCTTTGGTCGAGTGCTTCCCCCTGAATGGTCCTACTTTTTTTTCTTTTTGGGGGGGGGAAGTGACAGGGGCCCCCGCCTCCTCCTCGTGCTGAGCCCGTAGCAACGATGTCGCCACGTCCAGTTTTTGATGGTTTTTTGAGTCCTGCGATGGCGCGCGCGGACGCGCGGCCAGCGGCGGTTCTCCCTGTCACTTCCTGTCTCTTCTTGTGGTCTCAGCTCTTTCTGAATGCAGTTACTAGCGAAAGGTCGTGGTAGGTCGCACTCGCATGTACTAAAAAAGCTTATAATTATACTGCAAGGGTAACAAGTAAAGTCGACGGGTCACTGCGTGACGCTTTCGATTTCGACGAGAAATATTTTCATATATCTAATAGACGGGCTTCAGGAAAAGAGTGAGAGGTTTGTAGCAAGCTTTTCTATAACGAAAGTTTCAACGACTAAGACTTCGGATGCGAGCGAAAGTTTGAACGAGTAGGAATCTCCTGCATTATACAACCTCAATACGCCGCCATCTGTAGACAGTCTTCAAGGAGGCAAAGCGGGCCCTTCATCAAGGAGGTTGTCCTGCTGATTTGTAGTTTTAGGAAGACATGACCCAGCTCCCCTGTTCTGCAAATGTATAAAGTAAGAAGGTGAAGAAGATGAAGATGATGACCCTAGTACTTTCATGAGTATAAAGATCATCAACAGCATGAACATGATGGAAATCATTGCAGTCCCATAGTGACAAAGATCACACCACTGGGGTACCATGCTAATGATGTGGATCCTTATCGTGTTACATATGAGCAAGAAGGTCCACACATTTGACAACTTTGCAACCGCATGAGAAACATGCAAAGCCTTCACGGTTTGCACCAATGAAACAGGCCGGGAATTATATAAAAAAAGGCATCACCTTGAGGGTGAAAATAAGCAGCCCTAGTGTTCAGAAACAAGACGCAGCATTACTTTTCGCGATCGCGCTTGAGCTGAGAGTCATTCTGCTAAAAATGAGTGCCTTTTTCAGGTGACTTTTTGCCGTTTTTGACCAAGAATTTGCGCACTTGATTACTCTCGTCCAGCAGCATGAGGACTCTCGTACAAGTAAGATCTGGACACTTCAATAATGCTTGACACTTGTAGGGCTTTTGACACTTGTAGCCCTTCCTTCCACTGAAAGAATACAAGGATACACAAGCGAGAGAACGACTGGAAGAACTGCGCCGCCTTTTCATTCGTGTCTTGACACGGCAATCCGTCAACTGTGTGCTCTGCTTTATACCAGGAACTTTTCGGAGGTCGTGACACTCGCTCGTTTAAATTGTTTGTTTCGAAAGTCCGCGAATTTCGAAAAAGCTCACGCGCGTTCCTTACTCTGAAGACCATGTGATCTTTGTTGACACCATGGATAGAAGTGAGATGATCTATACACGCGTAGACACGACTTGTTATTTACTATGTGGCGCTGCTTCTACAGCATTTGTTCTATGGGTGTGGTGATGCAACAGTCGGATCATGTTTATAGCCTTTTCGGCATTCTTGCGTCAGTGTGCAGGCGGCCTTACTTATTGCAATTTTCGTCAGTGTGCAGGCGGCCTTACTTATTTCATGCAGTTCTATGTGATCTCGAATGCAGACGGTCTAGTGTCGTTGGCAGCGAGTGGCGACTACCCAAGTTTCTCTTTACATGAGAAAGAGTCTGATAAGCCTTGTTTTCCCTGGTTTCGAAGTACGAGAAATGTATGCGCATGTAGTGTTTTCCTATTCAATCAACAAGGTTTCGCTTCTATTCGATCAGTGGAGTACAAACTCGTTCTTTATTTTGTTTCAAAGCTCATTCCTACATCATAGCACAAAGCCACGCTTTCTTCGAAGACAAAATGTACGGCGTTATGTCAAGTATGGAAGTTTCATGAGTCTCCTATGCAGTAGTCTGCTGATAGATGATGGTCCCGGTGATGAGTTTAGTCGGCCAAGGTCTATCGCCTTCCTTTCCGAATCCAATAGCGCAACATCATTACACCAAACAAGAAAAGTAGAGAATTGCCATAAGCTCACAAGTCTTTTTTTCTGCATCTATGGCGGCTCTTCATCTAACTGTGACCAGTCTACCCTTACTACAAGAAACATCAAAGCGGTCTCATCTATGCAGACCTCCTGTCGCTACTAGTACTCCTCCTATCCTACTTCCAAACCCCTACGCCCTAAGATCTACTAGCTCCATTTAGGCCGCACCGTAAGAGATTTCGTCCTTCTCTCCCGCCTCTGCCTCGATCTTGTTGTCGAAATTAGAGAGAACTGAACAGAGGATGGGCGACCCTCCAGCGTGTGTCTTTGAGCAGCTTAGTTTTTGAAACTGTGAGCAAAGTGGGCAGACTTGGCCACGCCAACTCCTATTTTTCTACTTTTCTTGGCTCTCGTGTGCGTGTGAGCGAGTGGGGAGTTGCCATAACTAAAGCCCGCAGGAGTCTCTCGGCTTCGGTCGGCCGGGCACGACGCAGAGCGACACGAAACACGAGGCACAGTACTGCGATCACAGGAGCAGCGAAAAGACCACAGGGAACCGCAATTGAGGCGCGCCCCTGCTGACCATATTCAGCAGGCGTCGGGGCTGTGATCTGCGCGAACCCACCTGCGGGGTGCGTGTGAAGATCCTAAAGTTGTGCTCTCGTCATGAATATTGGCCGCCCACCCGCGAGTCAACATAGTTGCGATAGGCGAGGCGCAGGGAGTTATTCTTGATTTTCAATGTTACTACCTTGAAGTAAGTGACAAATGGACTGTCATAAGCAACTATGAATCTGTAGAAATGTACCCTTCCTCGTCAGCTCTTCGGGATAGTGCTCGTCCGGACCATTCGGCCGATAGCTCCATTTCACACTTCGACCACTAGGGAGCTCGATAGTCAGCTTCGTCATCCCAGATTCGCAGTGGTAGTCCAACTTCGACGTGAGCTCGCTGTTACCAAACAAGAGCGGGGCTCGAACGAGCACGACACCCTCCTCCACATCAACATCTGGTCTTATCGTGAAAAGCGGCCCTGCCACTCTACGCACGTCCCAACGAACCGCGCAGCCTTTCTCTTTCTCGATGAACTTTCAGATTAGAGGACCGCTCCACAAAAAGCGAAAGCGAAGTGTCTAAAAAATCAGAAATACGCAAACCTTCTCTTCGACGACTGGCCCCAAAATGTTGAAGCCCACCTACTAGATTTACTTGAATCCCCCACGGTAGCCGCGATTGAGTTTCCAAGTGCTACAGGATCCCTATTTTTCTCTTATGCCACAACACCGTAAAAAAAGCAATGAAGCTCTTCTAAGAGATCACTCAGAATCACGATGAAGCACATTCATAAGAAGAATTCCTCGTCCAGTTCATTTGTCGACTTCTTGGGCGGCCAATTCTCTACTGCTCCATCACGCTGCACTTCGCCGGATATGGGCAGCTGCAAAAAGTCTTCCAGCATCGGCTGGTCTTTTGCGTTCGACACATACGCTTCAGTTGCTTCATTGATTTCGTCCCCCTGGCAGATCGGTCCTGTGAATGGGTTTAAAAAAAGTTGCAACTTTGTGTGGAGGGGGCCTCTGGTCGTATTCTTTGGTGGGAAGGAAGATGTTGGCGCGAGTTAGTCTCATCTCCTCTTGTATTTTTGCAGTGCACAAGAACACTATCTAAAACAAAAACAGGTGGTCACGCATGAGTCTGTAAGGTATATGTCAAAAAAGACAAATCAAGTACCAACTACTAGTCGCGAATTAACCTCGTTGGTGTGGGACTCGCTGCTGCTCACCCTGATCCGCTGCGTGGTAGTGCCATCGCCGTTCCCCACATCACTGTAGAAGAGAAAGGCAGGGAGCGGGTAT